GGGCAATATGCTGACTCTCTGTAAACCGCTTAGAGAGGCCTGAAAGGCCTATGAAGCGGTATATAAGTCTACTGCTATTGCTATTGCTATTTAAATAATGTGGCCATTTCAGATATATATTCTTACTTTATCAACTTGTATTTCAATCACAAAGAAATTCTAGGCAGCTTACACAATAAGATTAAAGTATTAAATAAGAATAATAACTAAAAGTTTTAAAGCGAAAATAACAAAATATAGAAATACAGTTTATATAGCAAGTTTCACTGGCTACTTTCTTCATTGTTTGGATCCTATAAAGCGACAGTTAACATTGTAGACTGAATATCTATGATTTAAGAGGTTCCTAGAGAGGATACCAGGTACCAGAAAACATCTTAAACTGTTACTGTGGAAGACCATTACTAAGTAGTTGCTGCATTGAGATTAATTAGTAATATGATTTAGTAGAAAGCAACTATGTATGCATAAGCACAGCTCATGGGGCATATAGAAAATGTAGCAAGCACCTGCTTATTAAATCTTAGGAACAATTAATCACTGTGTCTTAGAGAGGCCAGATGAGTGTGGATTTTGTCCATAGACTGAGATCATTTGTGTAGGTAGGCTGAACACCAGGAACAATAGGCTTAAGGGAAGAATGCCCTACTCCCCAACCATTGATTTATTTTTGAAGGAAGTGACAGGGAACAACATTTATGGCTCCTCAACTGCGTTGTCTAATTCCTTTTTCTAGTTTGATGTTGGTGAATCAGTATCTTCCATGAAAATGAATAATGAAACTGGACCACCCAAAAGTTACTACAGAGAATGTACTATTGTCCCAGAGGAAGGTGGGAGGACACCTCTTCATATTGCCTGTGAGAGGGAAGACAATTTTACAGTAAGTGATAGCTATTGGGATTCTCTCTTACAAATTCTATTGTCCCTTCTCAGTTTTCAAATAGCACATTTTGCATTGGTAAGAATTTTATTTTGTAAAAGGAAGACGTTGTCTGTAGTCAACTAGTTCTAGCTTACCAATATGGACATTTAATATTTAAGCCTGATCTCAAATTATTTGAGGAATTTAAATCATATTAAATAAATGGACATCCCGGACATATTAAATCTAATGCAGATCTCTGGTGTAATCAGTTTTAACCTACCATCTGTCTAAATCCTTTGTCCAATGTTAAATGTGTATAAAATATTAATGCAGGAAGAATGGAATAGTAGCTAAAAACCAATATGAATTTAGGGCCATTGTCAGAAATAAAATTATTGGGCATCTTGTTCTGGGAAAACTCTTGAATGAACAGATGAGCGGCTTTGAGGTAGTAGGGAGGCCATATGAGAGAATCAGCCTAGCTCCAGAATGGCATTCAGACTATTCCTTCATAAGGACAAAGGAAACTCTACCCCAGGTATTGTACAGAGAGAGAATGAATTACAGTAGTCTATATGGTATGCAGGTTAGATATTTGGCATGGCATCAAGGGTGATAAGAAGAAACATTGGCCTTCATATCTATTCTAAGGCCATCTAAATATTTGGGGAAGGAAATGGGTAATTTAAAGTACTTTAAAATGACCAGTGGTTGGCTTTTATGGTAGAATTGAAACATCACTTTCCTTTAAGGAAGGTGGGATGTATTACAGACCACAGTGCTGCATTCTCTCCATTTCTACTCTTCTTATATAGAGTGGATTTCTTATTTATTAAAATAGCATAGGATTCCTTCAATGATAGAAGAGGAAGCCTTTCCTCACTGTATTCCCAGTTTAAATCAACAAATCAGAGACACAACAGGGGTGGAAATATGCTGTAGTCCATCTGCCATTAGGTATAATTAGTATATCCAGTGGGAGTTGCATTTCAAGGACATCTGGGATTTTCAGGGATTTTTGGAAGGCCAGAAGAGTTGTGGCCTGGAATAACAGGATTTTCACATTCCAGTTTTATATTGCTATCATCAGTTTTATAAATACAAAATTAAATAATCGAACACTCTAACATCTCATGTACCATTAAATAAATGTAACTGTATCAGGCGTCTTTCCATCAAAGTTTACTTTACAAATGAGTACACAGATAGAAATGGGTTGTAATGAATTCAGTGATGCTTACTCCCTAGTGATTTCAACTAGATGTTTTTCTTTGGTAACAATAGTTGTAGCTGTTTTCAGCTCATATTGAAAAGCAAAATCTTGAACAGTATCCATTTGCAAAATACAGTTTATCTTTAGCAGAAGTTCAGTTTTTTTTTATTTTTACTTTTGCAGTTGGATTACTTTTTGCCACTTCAATTTTTTTTATTAATTCACTATTTGCCTCCTTATTTTCAATACATAAATAAATATAAATATAAGTTTGTTTCTTCACCATTTACTGACATATTCCTATGAGACACCTGAATTCTACATTTTATAATTAACCAGATACAATCAGTTCATCTAATGATAATGTACATAAAAATATTAAGTATTGGTTAAGATTCAGAGTGCTGCATTAATTGTACCTTCTTTGATAGCTTATTACAGATGCTACTTTTTAGGTGGACCCTATTTTAAAAATAATGAATTGAGCCATGGAGAGCAACTTTTCAGCCCTGTCTGGGTCCCAACACATTATCTTTATTTCCTTAACGGAGTTTCCCTGTCATTAATTAAATTAACTGATGCATTGAATATTTGTTTATTATGTTAATTAGATTACCAGCTACAAAATTTAGTTGGGAAAGATAAATATGCCAAAAGCCTTCCAGGTAGTCCTTGATTTATGACCACAGTTGAGTTTAGAATTTCCATAGCTAAGTAATGTGCTCATTAAGTGAGTTGCATCTGATTTTACAACCTTTTTGCCACCCTTATTAAGCAGATCAGGCTTTCCCTTTGACCTTGTTGATTGGAAGCCTCCTGGAAAAGTTGCTGTGGTGATTTTTTGACTCCAGGTGGTTGCCAAGTGCCCAAATTTTGATCAAGTGACTGCATGATTATATAGTAAGTGTGAGGACTGGTTATAAGGCACTTTTTTCAATACCTTTGTATTTTGAGTGGTTGTTAAACAAATGATAAGTCAAGGAATTTATTTTTGCTTTGATGTCCATACAATCTCAACTAATAGGGTATATTTATTTATTTTATTTATTTCATCAAGCATGAATTAGATAACAGATATAAGTATAAANAAAAATTGCCTCTTCAAAATCTTGGTGTGTCTTATAGTCCGGTGCGTCTTATACTCTGAAAAATATGGTATACCATAAGCTTCATTCTATCCTTTCAATTGCTGATGAAGCCTGCTGATATCTTCTTCCTTACTTATGCTCTTAATTCTTCCCTAAAAGCCTGAACAAGTGATTATTCTGCTCATTCTTTTTCTTTGTGTCTACTGAAAGCACTATTTATCAGGTACTCAAACATATTGTTTAAAATATTATTTGAAATCTTGATTGATTTATTCTACCAGTTCTCTAACCCCATCCAAATTCCAGTTATCAGAAGTGCTTTTATTTATCATTAACTTAATATTAAATTATTTGTAATTAGTTTAATGGATAAGAAGATTGGTCAGAGAATTAGAGGGAGAGAAAAACTTAAGAAATAAGAAGAGTCAGGTTGAAAGGCAGAGATCCAATCTAGTCCACCATTATGTGACACACAGTAGCAACTTAAGAGGATTTGAGAAATTCAAATCAAGGCGAGGAGGGCTACAGCCACTTTCATTGGATGCCTTCTGTGCTTCAGGAACTATGAAGTTTAATAACTAAAGATAACTAATATTTTATATGACTCTGTTGATCCTCTTAAAATCATTTAAATGTAGAGTTGAAATAGGTGGCTCTCACTTGATAATATGGCAATGAAGTTTCCTAGCTGTACTGTTTTTAAAAATTACTTTTTTATTGACCCTCAATTTATTTGCATTTAGTTTGACTAATTGTTTAGTTCTAATACTGTAAAATGTGGTCATTTGGAAAAAATTATCAGAAATCCTGTGTAAAAGTGTGTGTGTTTGTGTGTGTGCACGTGCATAGGCACATAGGATTTATTTTATGTGTTGCTGCAGCCATTTTCTTACCTTTTTTAAAAAAAGTGGAGCAGTGAAAAGCTTTCTTTAGTTGGATGATTAAAGTTTGTTTATAGCCTTTTAGATTGAAAATGACCATTTACACGATTGATTGTTCTTCATATTAAATAAATGAACTCAAGAGAGAACAAGATTAAAGACTTTTCCCCCTTAGCTAATTTCCTGTGGAGAGGGAATGTGTGTGTGTGTGTGTGTGTGTGTACGTACGTACGTACGTACGTATTTATGTATTGTGTCACAACCCCTTGTATGCCCAAATATGGGAGGGAGCATACTGCTTTCCTTTTCTGTCTTTCGGTTCACCCTAGGAGCCATCCAGGCAGAATGCCATTTTTTATGTTGCCTTTGTTACCTTTGTGTTGCATCTGTGCTGATAAATAAATAAAGGGAGATTAGTATACATCTATTTCAAACTATTTAGCTCTCATCAGCTAGCCATACCCTTACTGGGAATTATTTATCAGCACAAATGCAGCATACACACACACACACACACACACACACACACACACACACAATGATAGAATGTTGAATGAAGGGGGATACTCAGTCCTGTGATTTCTCATACATACCTTCAGTCTGTAGTAAAACCCAGAATTACCATTCCACTAAGCATTAGACCAAAGATAGATAAGGAGAAGTAAGGTAGAAAAAATCCCACCATGTTTTATCTCTCCTGTCCTTATCTAACTAGCATGTCACAACAAAACTGTACTTCTATTGTATTTTTAGCTTTTTATGGCTTTGCTTACTTTCAGGCATTGCCAGAGTGACATAGTCTTGGATATTAATGCCATTATCAAAGGCAACCGGTATGATTTTGGAGCTAAAGGTCCCAAAGAGCTTATTGCTGAAGAATTGATTGAGAAATCAGCAGAAGGAGACTATAGAAGAGTTTATGAAATTCTGAGGGACAATCTGGCCCATCCTGATGTAGCAGATATGAGTGGATATACTGCTCTTTCTGCTGCTGCTGTAAGTTCTTACTATATATTATGCTTTCCATCATGATGAACCTTGATCATGGTGGTCACCGTCATGGTGAACCCTCAAGGGTAGAAGTGCAGCTAAATTCAGATTTTTTTTTGTATTGTGACTGTATTGTACCATTGAAATACATTTAGCTGTTTGTTTATTAATTTATAGTATTTGTACATTGGTTCTTAATCCTAAAATGATTTGCAGTGGCTATAGATATGGGATTAAAGCAGGTTATAAACCAAACCTATTAGCATGTGTTAAGGATAAGGACTAACATAAAAACAAGTCTTTGAGAGATGCTTCAAATAAGTCATCACTGGGGCCTTTCATTACTCCATAGGGTAGGTGTCACTGAAGAGATGAGGCATCTTTGTAACAACCAGCTGAAACCAGTGAGAGCAGGATGTCCTGATGATTTTAAAATATCTAGAAGACTGAATTAACTGAAAATGCTGTATTGGTATTGTACATATAATCAGGCTAGAACCTAGTCTAAATTGAATCTAAATAATCAATAACCTTCAATAACCTTTGTAGTTAGATTACCTCCAGCTTAATTATTTTCAGCATGTTAGGTATATTTGCAAAACGTCAGAGGTTATTGCAGTTCTGGGTTGCTTGAGTGATTTGAAAGAATTTATACTATTTGTCAACAGCAATTGAAAATATGAAAAAATAGACTGTCACTGGACAGTCACTGTAGACTGATTTTTCCCAGTTTGATACCTTACAGATTACACGTAGAATTTCCAGAGAACATGTAATCTATGCATTATTGGAACTGTAATCCAAATATATTTGGAGCAGTAGATGGGGAGTGATAAACTCATTATGTGTGTATGTATGTATGTATGTATGTATGTATGTATGTATGTATGTATGTATGTATATATATATATATATATATATATATTCATTGGAAAAATCAAATTCATAATCTTGAAATGTGTACAGCCTGGAGTGTAAAAAAACTTTGTGAAAATAACTGAAATTGTTTGTTTGTGCAGTTGAATTATCACGAAAACATCATCAACCTTCTTCTAGATTGTGGAGCTGATGTGAATAAATGCAGTGATGAAGGATTATCAACTTTATCCATGTGTGTTGTTCACTATTTCCCTGCAGAAGGATTTCAGCCCAATATTGCTGAAAGGAATATCTTTTT